CTCCTGGTTACTCAGCAACAGGGATGGGGAACAATCACCCGGAAAGATGGGCGTCTCCAGGGTCTGTGATCCCTGGGCCAGGTCTGCTTGGAGCTGGGAGTGAGTCAGTGCGGCTGCTGAAAAACAGGAATTTGTAATGGAAATGCCGCCAGACCTTTTAACAGGGCTTCGCTGGCCAGAGCTGCGATCATCTAGTAAATAAGGTGAATGGTCTCTGCTTATCTCATTTCACAGCCGAGCTGTGTATTGCCAGATAAATCAAATCAGGGTAAACGGCTTCATCTAATAAACTGGGTCAACACATAATGTATTTGTTCAGGTTCGCACTTTCATTGATTCTCATTTGATTTCAGAAGAGATATTTCAGCTCCTGTTGGAATGTTTTTAGGATTCACACTTCCTTCTGGTAAGGGGAGGCTGAGAGGCAGGGACACAGCTGGGTTTTTCTTTTTTCCCTTTTAAATAAATTAAGTTTTCTGATTCTTGAAAGTTCTGCTTTCCATCTTTATGCTTCAGAGATGGGGAGGGGGCCATGGTAGGGCCGCTGGGGGAGAAAGTGGAGAAGAAGCAGGAAGAAAGAACTCCAAGTCTTCATCTGCATTTCCCAATAATGTTTTAGTGATGTTTGCTAATGTATCATTCATTAACCATCAGCCACTATGAAAAACATAATCTATCTCGCAAAGTGGACATTATTATCGCATTAAATCATTTCACAATATACCTGAACGGTTCCACACGAGAGGCCTGGCCTGCCCCAGCCCAGATGCCTCCGGGGCAACTCTTCAGCGTAATGAGATGCGGGGTCTGTCTGTGATGAATACGATATTACTCGTGTCAGTGGTTGCGGACGGCACCCAGAATATTTCTTCTTACAGGTTTTTTTTTTTTCTTTCTTCTGTAGGAAAGGAACTCAGGCAAAGCACTATTAACCCAGTAAATGAAGCTCTAAAGATCACAGAGTGTGTCCATTAGGAGACGAGACGGTGACTAATCCAATTTTTCTTGCAGGAAGAGACCCTGATGCTCTGGTACCATCTGGGGACGGCGGGCCCCACGTCACACACAGGCTCTGCGCTCAGTCCTTTCTGGCCGTCTCCTTTCTCTGCCTTTGTCTAAGAACAATTATGGCACCGTCCCCTGCTCTCCCTAGGCCTCCTCTTGCCCAGAGCCTCTTTGAAAGTGATTAAAAGAATGTCCGCTGGTAGAAGATCTAGCAAAGAGTGTTGGGTGGGAGAAAGAAGAAAGGGCTCTTGATAAGTCTTTCCATTCCCCATTTATCAGGACACTTTCGGAGGGTTCAGATACGTTTGGTAGTCAGGCTGGAATCAACAAAAAGGTACCAGGGTTTACTTACTCACTGCTCCTGTGAAAACACATCGAATAGTCTTGCTTCTTGGGAAAGAATCCATCATTTTATCTCTCATGAGGGCATCCACTTATTTCTTTTGTTCCTTGAAATACTGTTTGCAGGCATGAAAAAAATTTTTTGTACAATATTGTGTTGGTTTCTGCTGCACAACAACTTGAATCGGCCACATGATACGTATATCCCTTTCCTTCGGAACCTCCCCTCCTTCCCCGACCCTGGCCCCTCAGGTCATCACAGTGCCAGATGGGGCTGTGAGACACGGCAGTGTCTCACCAGCTAGCTAGTTCACACACGATCGTGTATATATCTTGATGCTCCTTCCTCCATTTGTCCCCCTCTCTCCTTCCCCCTCTGCATCCACAAGTCCGTTCTCTACATCCGCATCTCCATCCCTCCTCTGCAAGTAGGTTCATCAATACCATTTTTCTAGATTCCATAAATACGCAGGCATTTGAAACGTTGGTGGATGAAAACAAGATTCCAGATTCCCTTCACCTAGACAGCCAAGGAGAGGTGTGGGGGTACTATCTTGAGGACGTCGATGAAAATACAAGCCAAGTGGAGATTCCTTCCATAAATTTTCTCTAAATCTGCTCCTCTTCCTTTCTTTCAGCATAAATGTGTCACCCAGCCACGTGCCCTGCACAGCACACTCATCGCTCACAGAGTCCTCACCCCAGCTAACATGTATTATGGCGAAGAACAAGTCTAACTCCATCTTAGGTTCTGTTCCTTTAACCTCTGTGTTCTATTGCTTTTGCTTCAAGTTAAGAATGTTGCCTATGGCCTTGGATAGACAGGATGGCTCATTGTCAAGGCTCTGACCTTTAAGTGTATGACACTTTTCCATTCATAGAGAGATAAAAAATTGCAGACCAGAGAAAAACATTTGTCCTGTTGGAGGTTTACAGAAAAACCCTGACCTGATCTAGAAGGACAGCTGCAAGAACAGAGAGCATCAAGAAATTTGTAACAATCAACCCTCACCTGGCCTTTAAACCTGCTTTGCTGAAACCCTAGGGAATTTGGGGCTTTCTAGGGGTCCCAGACAACCCGTTCTCTCTGCATGGTCCCGAAATGAACATTTTTCTGCTCCAGACTCTGATGTTTTGGTATTGTTTGGCCTCGGTCTGCGTGGAGTACGTGAACTTGCATTCAGTAACACAAATACAGAAACAAGCAAAAAGCCACGTACTCTACCCTTTGAACAGCTGCAAAGAAGCTTCACTGCCGCCCCAGTTACAATCGGATTCCAGTCTGGCTACTGTTATATGTAACTAAGTGCGGTGTTTAATTTTTTTAAATGATGGCCCTACATCAACACTTCCCAAGAGGACCTCAAAAATACATTCCCCGAAGGGCAGCCTGGAGAGACAGAAAATAGATCCTCACCCTCCAGGTTTGTTTTATGCACTTAATCAATCCAGAAGGATTGGCTTAATTTTCCACACTGGCAAATGCAGTTTGAAACACCCCCTTTGAAAGTCAAATTTATATTTCATATTACTCTGGTGTATCGGCTCAGGTGATGTGGAAAATGTAATTCTGAAAACATTTTGGCTTACTTGGGGTCTTTAGAAGGGACAGCGTGGTATGAGTCATGATTTTGTATCTAAATGTGTCTCTACTTCCCTTCTCATGCTGAAATGACTTTATAGATTTTATTAGTTTCAGTGAAATGTATTTACATCGAATGAATCAATCAATCTCACCCCGCACCCCTGCTCGCTTGCTTCTCTTGTTTCTCTATTTTTTTCTCATTTGACTAGAGACCAGTTGATGAGGCATTTTACTGATAATACCCATATTATTCATACCATAGTATTTACCTTCCCCCCCCCCAGAAAGTATATATAGGTTTTCTGAATTTTATTGCATTGAGAGATACTATTTCATTTTAACTAATACAAGAGCATGCTGTCCACATCTTTAATTGAAATCTAACTAACAGGTAAAAATAAACACCATCTCTTTCTTGACATTTTCACTGCAATGTGTTTTTTTGTGTGTGACTATTTTTTCTTCTCTTGCCCAAATATTTTATTATTCATGGATTCATTCCCCCCATATATTCGTCCAGAAAATGTTTATTGATATGGATCAGAGTATTCTTAGATTTTACTGTTTATTTCCTACAATTCCCAGCAAAGTGGGGATTGGTACTGAGAAGGCACTAATAAAATTGTTGAAGGGTAATAACTGTAAGTGTTTTCAAGTTGGTTTTCTAGGTTCTACTTTTGCTGGTCCAAGAATGTTTTAGATAGGGCAGCCAAACGTACCTTTACTTGAATTCTCTTAAACTGCCCTGGAGGTGTGCTGGCTGGAGGGCTTACTCCACACAGCATCACCCAGCGTGGCAGACTCCCAGCCGTCCCCATGCTGTGCTAGAGCTGGGCCTCCGACTTGTCATTCACCTTTCCAAATATGCTCCTACTTGTGCATGTTTCATCAAGGCCCTTTGCCAGCCCTGCTTCCTAGAATCTCTCTCTGATGACTACAGACTACACTGATTTGTCATTTTTACACTTAACTGCAAGGTAAGGAGAGTTAATCCTATGTCTGTACAAGGAAGCTCAAGCTCAGAAATGTTGTGTGATCTGCTCAAGGCGTGATCAGGGCTCATGCAGGAGAGATGGAGAAGCTGGAATTCAAAACCCAGGTCTGGGGACTTCTCTGATGGTCAGGTGGTTCAGAATCTGCTTTGCAATACAGGGGACGCGGGTTTAATCCTTGGTCAGTTAACTAAGATCCCATGCAGGCAACAACTAGAGTCTGTGCGCTCAATGAAATACCCTTCATGCCACAGCTAAGATCTGACACAACCAAATACATCCAAACAAAAACACCTTAGTTTTTTATTAAATTTAAACCCTCTCCATTTCCAATTTTCTGTGCTGCCTTCCAAGGTAGAATACTGAAGCACGCCACAAATATCCTCCTTTGGAACTGATTGTGTTAAACATGAAAATTAGATGGAAACTTCCCCAAAATTGTGTGGCCTGAACCCCTCCCCCAGAGGTTTATAGTTAGGCATGAGCTGGGATCTGGGTGTTAAAAAAGCAAAGTCACCCAGTGCTTCTGAAGTGTGGCCAGGGCTGAGAAAGAGCAGGCTGACTAAGCAGTGACCCTCATGTCCTTGTTTAACGAGCTTGGACTCTGCCAAGCGGTGCAGTCGGCAAGTCTTCCGTTCCCATCTACAAGGAGCGACTGATTGTCGGGGGCTTTACTGCATTCACGATAAATGTCTACGAAATTCTCTCGGATCCCCTGTCCAGCAATTCAATCAAAAAGAAAATAAGGTTATTTGGCATGACTTTATCTTAGTGCTGGCTCAAATGGTAGAGCATCTGCCTGGAATGTGGGATACATGGGTTTGATTCCTGGGTTGGGAAGATCTCCTGGAGAAGGAAATGGCAACCCACTCCAGTACTCTTGCCTGGAAAATTCCGTGGATGGAGGAGCCTGGTAGGCTACAGTCCATGGAGTCTCAAAGAGTCGGACATGACTGAGCGACTTCACTGGTGGTTATCTTAGTGAACTCATATTTGTTTCATTGCTACATGCATAACTGAAAATTCAGCATTTTAGCCATGTTTAAATGTACAGTTGAGGCATCGAGTGGACTTACCATGTTGTACAGCCATCAGCACTACAATCTCCAGAGCCTGTTCATCTTCTCCAGCTCTGAAACGCTGCACCCACGAAACACTAACCCTATAAAAAGGAATAATAGAAAGCTCACTTGAACAGAGTCCGACAAGCGTGGGGGCCCTCTCATGCCCTCTCAGAGCCCAATAGGAAGAGGTAAGACTCCCTTTCTTTCCTGGCAAGGATGCTGCCAGTGAAATGCCATGGAGCTGGGACTTCCCTGGTGGTCCAGTGGTTAAGACTTCGCCTTCTAATGCAGAGTGCAGGTTTGATCTCTGGTTGGGGAGCCAGGATCCCCCACACCTTGCCTCATGGCCCAAAACTCAAAACATAAGCAGAAGCAATCATGTAATGAATTCAATAAACACCTTGAAAATGGTCCACACACATACACGCACACCCATGCATGTTTATGCACACGTCTGTGCTCCCAACTTCCTCTTCCTTCTGTAAAACCTGTCTCTCCTTTGCCCTGCGGGGACTTCCACACATGACTCAGCACGCTTACAGACTCCAAACTGTCGTTCTCTCCCTGATCCCAAACAAACCCATGTTTGCTGGAAGAATATCTGGCTGTCTATCTGTTTAGTTTCAATATTCCCTCTGCTGCCTCCGCCTAGTCACTAGGAAGCACCACTCCACCTCCTGTCTTTATGAGTGTGACTACTCCAGGAGCCACACATAAGATTAACACAGTGTTTGTCCTTTTGAAATCGGCTGGGACTTGGGAACTTCTGTGGCTGTGCTCGTACCTGGACCAACGTCTCCTCAAGCAACAGAATACAGAGAAACTCTAAGGTACCAAAAATAACTGCCTGCATGTGCGGCTGGGACACCCTATGCACAAGAAGACACAAAAAGCTCAAAACCCAACTTCCATTTCTGCAAAAGCAGGGTATTGGGCATGATCCCTGCACACAGCACCTCCAAAAGGGTGGGCAGACCTGAGCCACGCCTCTGGCCCAACCCACAGATTCATCCCAAGAAAACCTCCCTTGAATCTCTCCTCTGGCCTCTTGTAAATTTTTATTGATCAATGAATCCAAGAACCCAGGTCAGTAACACTGTTCTGCAGCTTACTTCCTTTGGGAAACATCTTCCACTTTCATCCATCCTGTAGCTCACACTTGTTTCTAATAACATTTATTTTCAGATGTGATCATTAACTTCGGAGACCAGAAATCTGTTAGTGTTTTGCACAAATCATGTGCCCCTAAAATTACTTATGGAATTGGATAGCATTAGAATTACCAGCCCATATGGTTTCTGACATGAATTATTTCTTGGGACAGGAAAATAACACTTTTGTTGGTGTCTGTCTTTGGGTATTCGTTCCACTTATTACAACTGTCCCCAAATTATCCATAGAAGTTTTGTAAATTATCGGTCAATTTCTTTCAGTATCGTTTAAAGTCATCTGTCTGTCTTGGAGTCCTGGGTCTGTCTACAGGACGGTTTCCTCAAATCTCTCTGACTTTGAAGGACATCATCTGGCCCTGGGCATTTGCCTTAGGCTTTGGGACTTTCAGTTTTTAAAAGGGAACAGTTTTGGGCAAACTGGGATGAGGGGGGTCACCCTACTTGTTTGTTATGCTCTTACTGCAAGTCTTCCCAAAGACTGCCCATGGAATGCAAAAGTGCTCCAAATGGTCTTCTTAGGGCCTGGAAAGGTGAAGCCGTCAGTCTCAGGATCTCACAGACCATCAGGTGAGTCTGACTCCTGCGCTCTTAAACGGCAGCTGTAAAAATGATAGCGCTGTAGTGTCTGACCGTTTAAAAAAGGACTTTTTTGCCAGCAAAGGCCTAGGTATATGTGTTAAAACGCACTAAGTGTGCACATCCCCACCCCCAATCACTTAAAAGCCTTTACTTTTTTCACAAACCTTCAATAACTTCCAATTACTGAAGTCATAAATGCCCTATTTTACAAAACAATACTCTTGAGGCCTGCACGCTTGCCTCACTTACTACCTGGAAAAGACTCTGCAGTTAGGAGAGTAATTTAGATTATATTTCGTTTGGAACTTCATCCCTACAGCCCTCGAGAGCAGCTATCAGTGTTTCTACACACTCTGTGGGTGGTCTTTTCTCTTACAGGTTGGAGGCTGGCAAGCCTATCTTTGGTGCACTGTTGTGAGACAGAAATCTTGCAATTTCAACAGAGGCATATTTCCACAATGACCCACTCCGCAGCATGTGAGTCTGCCTACATCTCATTGATTGCACTCCTCTTCTTGCTGTTTAAAATAGAAAGTCTACCCTTTATTTCTTTTAAAATATTTGTTTGGCTGTGCCTGGTATTAGTTGAAGCACGCCGGATCTTTGGTCTTGACTGTGGGCATGCAGGATCTAGTTCCCGGACCAGGGATAGAACCTGGGTCTCCTGCATTGAGAGTGTGGCGTCTTAGCCACTGGGCCACCAGGGAAGTCTCAATCTATCCTTTCTTTAAATCCAGCTTCTTCGAAGGTGCTTTAAGTCCAGCCTTCTCAGGATGTTGTTTTCTCCCACCTTCCAGGAACTTGAAACCCCTTCTGTCTATTTTGTCTGCAACACAAATCAGAAGTTGATCTTGGGGGATTAAAGCAAAGGCCATATATTGGCAGGATTTCAGAAGGTCACAACAATTAACAGGGAAGCTGGAAGAATAAAGTTGACAATGGAAAGTGCAAGGCAACTCCAGAGGATCGGGAAGTTGAAACCATGAAAATGGGCTTGGAGCAGGAGTTTCAGCTTGCCGTGGGATGCCTCCACTGGAACCCTGGGACTTCCATTTCCTTTGCTCTGTGTTACTCTTTGAAGTGGAGACAGAAATGGCAACCCAGTCTGGTATTCTTGCTTGGGAAATCCCATGGACAGAGGAGCCTGGTGGGCTACAGTCCATAGGGTTGCAGAATCAGACACAGTTCAGTTCAGTTCAGTCACTCAGTCATGTCTGACTCTTTGCGACCCCATGGACTGCAGCATGCCAGGCCTCCCTGTCCATCACCAAGTCCCGGAGCTTACTCAAACTCATGTCCATTGAGTTGGTGATGCCATCCAACCATCCCATCCTCTGTCGTCCCCTTCTCCTCTCGCCTTCAATCTTTCCCAGCATCAGGGTCTTAAACATCAGCAACTAAACAAGACCAACTCTCTGAAGACCTGACTTTACCAACAGAGTATCTACTAACCATCCCCCAAACAGGATGAGTCTGAGAGGGAAGATTTGTCCAGGCAGCTTCCACAGCGAGAGGCCGATCCATTTCTGTCTCTACAACTAAACAGGAGCCCCTGGAGCACAGGCCGGGACTGCTCTCGTTTCTCTCCCTGTGGGCGTTTCCTGACACAGCTGGCCGAGGGGAGGCCGAGGTATCCCAAGCTGGTGTTGGTCTACTGGGGAGCGGGGCTGGGTCCCAGGGCAGCAGGCTGAGCGGTCCAAGACGCCCCAGAGCTGGTATCAGCCCGCCAGCAGGTGGGGCACAGAAGGCCTCGGGGGTAGTGCAGTGTCACTGGTGGTAGAGCTGGGCTCCTGGGTCTCTGGGTGCAGGGCTCTGGGGGGGGCAGTCTCAAAGCAGGAGGTCAGGGCTGGGATCTAGGGGTTACTGCAGCTCGTGCCAGCCTGCTGGTTGGCAGGCTGGGTATAGGAGGCTGGGTCTAGGTCCTGGTATAGGAGGCTGCAGTTATGATTGTCCAGGGGCTTGTGTCTGTCCCCTGGTGGGTGGAGGGGGGTCCCAGGGTCTCTGCCGGGGGCCTGTGGTCTTGGGTCTAGCGCCGGTGCATTGGTGTGCAGAGCAAGGTCTCGGGCCATCTGGTGGCCAGGCCTGGCTCCCGGGCGACTCACTCACCTGGAGGCCGGCTCCAAGGCCAAGAATTGAGGCACGTGGAGGGGGCTGAACTTGGGGATGAGGTCAGGAAGATGAACCGGGGCAGAAGCTGGGTCCTGGCTGTGCCTCTGCCCTGGCTGGCTCTGTACCCAGCCACTCACGCAGCGCCCCGGAACCTCTGCCACACCGCCACCTGCGAAAACCTGTGATGGGGTGAGGAGGGCACCGGCAGCGGGAGAGCCATCGCCCATGCGGAGTAGAGAACTTGAAGAAGAAATAGCTGCTGATAAGTTTCTCATGGATGAGCCTTTCCTTTTTGGTGATACGCACCAGAAGCTTTCCAACCGGAGTTTCCAGCTGGAGGTTCGGTAATAGGAGTTTCATTTTATTTCAGAAAAGAGGCGAGGAATGAAGCAGAAAGACAGAGAGCTGCATTAAATTCTGTCCTCGTTGAGTTCTTTAGCTCACACTAGAGAAAAGTTGGGGAAGGAACATGGAATGTGTGAAAAGTAAAAGGCTACAGAAAATAAAAATTGATGAGCTCAGTTTCTAGAGCGCTCCCTCCCTTCTTTCTCTCTGGCTCTTCCACACACACTCAAAAAACAAATACTAATAGATGTTCATGTCATTTAATGGACACATAGCACTGAAAGAAATGTTTATAATTCTGACCTCAGTGACTCCAGTAAGATCACTTCTTTAGTGTTTAATATTGTTTCAGAGTTTGTGCTGTTAAATCAAAAGGTTATCTATAATACATCTGGTGCTATTAATGCAAAAGATCAGGGGTATTCAAAAGACATTTATTCATTATTAATATAGATAATAAAGGATCATTTATGAGGCTTCAGATGAGATTTTTTATCATCAAAAGCTTAAAAAGGGAAATTTATTTTTGCTTCGGGACAGACATGAGAGGTGTCTGTAATGCGAAACGTGAGAGTCAACACAAGACTGTCAGATTCACTCTGTTGCTGAAGAAGGCTGATGTTTTATAGCAACAGATTAAAAAGAAAATAAAATTTGGGGCTTTATATTTCTATCAACGGGGACTTCTTGATTTATTCTTGGTTTGTCCTTTATCAAGATGTCAATGTTCTTTGCTTCTCTTTCTTACATTTGTGGCTGTTGATGGCTTGTAAATTGGGTGAAAGGGAAGAATTCATCGAAATACTGAGAACTGTTGGCAATTAAACAATAGACCAGGTTAGTCGAAGAATTTTTACATACTAATGAGAGTTACTTGGCTTCTCAGGTGCTGTTAATGGTAAAGAACCAGCTTACCAGTGCAGGAGCTATAAGAGACACAGGATTAATCCCTGGGATGGGAAGATCCTCTGAAGGAGGGCATGACATCCCACTCTAGTATCCTTGCTTGGAGAATCCCGTGGACAGAGGAGCCTGGCAGGCTACCGTCCATGGGGTTGCAAAGAGTCGTATTTGACTGAAGTGGCTGAGCACCCACACATGCAATGAGAGTTACAAGTCCAGCTTTTATTGAACACTAGACGTAATGAGGGGAAGCCCTGGTGGCTGAGCAGTAAAGAACCCACCTGCCAATGCAGGAGATGCAGGTTCAGTCCCTGGGTGGGGAAGATCCCCTGGAGGAGGAAATGGCAACCCACCCTAGTGTTCTTGCCTGGAAAATCCCAGGGACAGAGGAGCCTGGCGGGCTACAGTCCATGGGGTCGCAAAGAGTCCGACACGACTGAGCGCACACACGTGCAGAAATGAAGAGGAGGGTATTTGGAAAATGTACTGTTTTGGAGGAAGGCAATATCACCTTGAGAGTCTTGGAAGAGCTCTCAGATCTGGAGCAGAGTAGTACTGGAATCACTCTCAGGGTATGCTGTTGGCACTGCTCCGAGTTTTTAAAGGAGTTGGGGGGATTTTCAGAATTTCTCTCACCTCAATTTTGCAAACAAGCAGTAACCTGCCAATTCCCCAGGCAAAGCTGTAGTTGGAAACTTGTTGGATTTATTGGGATCCACACAAGTGAGACATAGAGAGTTGAGGATGCTTCTTACAGTACCAGCTACAAATCACAGTTGAATAAATGAGCGTATCTTGTTAGGTTCAGGTACCACAGTTGAAGTGATTTTGTACCAAAGGGTGGTGGGCATTTTTCTAAAGGCATTAATTCATTACTAATATACATAATTAAAAGCCATGTGTGCGGGCTTTAAATGGATTATCTTCATTAATACAAGAAAAAGGATGATGTTTGGGCCAAATGGCCCCGGATTACCCTGGTTTCAATATTAGCTAATCATTTCAGGACTAGAAATTAACTCAGTAAAACCTGTTTCATTAAGGTAAAAGAGTATTCAACACTGGGGGCCTGTCCCTCGCTCTATCTCAGAGACTTTGGGCATCTAAACGAAACATCCACGTGAGGGTCACGCAGTGAGGAGAAACGTGCAGCTTTCAACTGTATCATTCCAATTGTTGAATGAGTCCTATTGAGAAGCCTTTGTGTTGAATGTGGGATTGGTTCTTTTTTGTCGTTGCTCACTCACTCAGTCGTGTCCAGCTCTTTGTGACCTCCTCAGCTGCAGCACACCAGGCTTCCCTGTCCGTCACCGTCTCCCAGAGCTGCTCAAACTCATGTCCATTGAGTCAGTGATTCCATCCAACCATCTCGTCCTCTGTCGTCCCCTTATCCTCCTGCCTTCAATCTTTCCCAGCATCAGGGTCTTCTCCAATGAGTCAGTTCTTCGCATCAGGTGGCCAAAGTACTGGAGCTTCAGCTTTGGCATCAGTCCTTCCGATGAATATTCAGGACTGATTTCCTGTACAATTGACTGGTTTGATCTCCTTGCAGTCCAAGGGACTCTCAAGAGTCTTCTCCAACACCACAGTTCAAAAGCATCAATCAGCTATAAGCGTACATACATCCGCTCTCTTTTGGAGCTCTCCCCCACCCCCTCCACCCACCATCCCAACTCTCTAGGTCATCACAGGGCATTGGGCCGAGCTCGCTCTGTTACTGCAGGTTCCCACTAGCTCTCTGTTTTATACAGGTAGCATGTACATGTCACTGCTACTCTATCAGCTGCAAAGCTCATTCTTAAAAGAGGTCTTGAGATCTATCTAGCCCCAGTCGGGAGGCCACAGTTTGGAGAAGAGCTGGCTTCCATTTCTGCTCTGGCAAGCTGTAGTCCCATAGGAAGCCAGCTTTGGGTTGGCATGAAACTCTTTTTTTTTGATTCCCACACAATCCAAAGAGGTTTTGTTGTTTTGGCCACTTTCAAAGTCTTTTCTCTGGTCCTCTCAGGTGTCTGTCACTTGTCCCCAGCTTGTCTTCTTCCTCTAAAACCCTGCTCGCCCTGAGCAAAAAAAATCTCATAAGCTTCTTCAGTCAGGGGTATAACTGACAGAGAAAAGTTTATCTGTGAGCCTCCTAGAAGCATGCTAATCTGCTGACCTTGCATGATCCAGACACAAATAGGTGTGTTAATCACCCAACCAGGTGAATACCACTCTAGCCATCTGAACAGTAGGTGGTACACTCCTGCATCCTGTTCACGGTTTGGGGCCATGGAGGAGGTGGACTAAGCAAGCTAAACCTGGGTGGATGGGAGGTTTAGCAGTGATACACATCACACTGATTATAAATCCTGATCCAAGTCATAAGTAACTGCACCAGTGGAGGTGGTAATAGTTCATCTTTAAAATTCCTTGTCTTAGTAATGCTGACGGGTGCAGCTGATATGGTCTCGCTTAAGAAAGCAGTATGCAGCATGTCTGTATTAACTTTTAGGTTCCAATTAATAATAACAGTATTTTTTGAAAAATCTATTAAAATTAGTAAAGGCTTAAGCAAACTGAGAGTAATACTTTCATTATAAAAATACAGCATGTTTTATAAACATTAATGGACTATCATTTTCCCCCTTCTCTTTCTATTTCCACATAATTATTCTCTTTGTTATGGACACAATCTTCTTTTCTGCCCCTGACATCTCTCTGTCAGCTTTAATTGATCTTCTTGACAGCATTTTCTTATTTTGGTCCTTCTTCCATTGTTCCATTTTCCAGATGCAGTTCTGTTTTTTATTTACTCAGAGCTTGTCTTTTTTTTTTTTTTAAGATCTTTATAAAATCACAATTGTTTGCCCCTTCCAAAGAATTGTAACTTGCAGACTTAATTAGGATCTCTTATGATTCTCCACATTTCAGGATTTTAATATGTACCATTAGAATAATGGAGCCCCCAGATTTCTTAGCTCTCCCAAATTTTCTTCTTCAAATTTGGCTCTTCTATATAGTTATAGCTTGTTAGAACTCGTCTTTCTAAAAAAAGTCTGGAAGAAAACCAGATAAACATTATTACTACATCAAAGTTGCAAGCTCTTCCCACCCCATCATTTAGCATTGCCATTTCAAGTTTTTTAAAAAGCAAATACCAAAACTCATTTGGATGCTGTTTTTATAATAAGAAGCCATGTTAACGATAACATATGTTGTTGTTTTAAGGGCCCATTTTATAATGGAAAGAATACACTCTTGACTTTCTTGGGGGTTTAATTCATGCAATTCCTACCTCATTATGTACTAACTGTTTATTAATCATCAGCCTGACTACATGGCCTGTTTTTATTCACTTTGATTTCTTGTGTGTTTAAAGTTCAGGGTTTAAATTTTTAGTGCTAAGATTGACGATGACTGCTTTTAGTTGTTTGCTTATTACTCCAACTAGGTTTCTAAATATTTCCAGGAGGCAAAGGGAATAAAGAAGAGAAAAAGATGGACTTAATATCTTGTCAACACATTTTCTTATTATATAGGGAGCCTTGTGAATGGACAAATTAGACTTAAAGTTCTGTTGGAGATTACACTGTACAGACATTTGCCCTGCAACATAGATTTTTTTTTTTTTTTAAGTTGGGAGAGAATGGGACAGCATCTGTGCTGCGTGCTAATTTGCTTCAGTTGTGTCTGACCCTTTGTGACCCCATGGACTGTACTGAAGCCCACTGTGCTCCTCTGTCCATGGGACTCTCCAGGCAGGAATACTGGAGGAGGTTGCTGTGCCTCCTCCGGGTGATCTTCCCGACCCAGGGAGAGAACCTGTGTCTCTTACTTCTCCTGCATTGGCAGTCTGGATCTTTACCTAGTGCCGCCTGGGAAGCCCTAACGTCTGTGATTCAGAGAGCTTTCCTACCACTCTCCTTATCCCGTGCTATCTCA